CCCCCCGCACACTAACTCACCCCTCCACCACACACCCTGCCTCCCTCCCACCCTGCTGTCCACCATCCTTCATCCTCCCACCCTCCTCAATTCTAACTAACCCCCACCCCAGCCCTCCCATTCACAACGTGTAGACAAGTCCCCTCACGCAGACAGCTGTTGCCCATGCTGTGACTAATATTGTGTACAACACACTGCTCGCCCTGCCCTTCATCATGCCAAAAGTAGCCTAGTATGTGGCGCAGATTCTATAATTGTACATAATCTCCGTGTGCTAGTCTAGGACTGAACATTGTGTGTGTGTGTGTGCTTCGAGTCAGTGCCGATCCTCTTTGTGTTTGGAATAGAGAAACGAATTACCAGGAAAGTGAATAAATCCTTATCATTGGACCACATCATTTCCACTTTTGCAAGCGATGTGATGTTGAGTAATGCTGTAACGTGATTCTTCTCTTGTATACGTGCTCTACACATTTTCAGTAGTTGATTTACTTTATGCAGTTGCAGAAACTCTTTAATTTAAAAAGTTACACTTTTGGGATAGTGCATACGTTCTAGGAATTCTTGATATTATGATATGATATGGTCCTGGATTACACAAGTCAACAGTATCGTTTTTTACAATGGCGACAGAAGTGGAACGAGTCTTGAACTTAAACGTAAGCTGAAAATGCTCATTTAGCAATTTCGTGATTTTTTCCTCATTGCTCACCTTACTTAGTAACCTACTTCGTTCTTTTGATATGACGATATATTCAGAGTTATATCCGCCGTATTGACTTTTGAATTAACCATCATCATCACGGTCATCGCTGTTATTGTTGTCATCATCATCATCATCATCATCATCATCATCATCATCATCATCATCACCATCACCATCACCATCATCATCGTCATCGTCATCATCTTCATCATCGTCATCGTCATCGTCATCGTCGTCGTCATCGTCGTCGTCATCATCTTCGTTGATATCATTATTACCGTCTTAAAAACAAACAAACCGTCTCATTACTTCCTGCGGCTTTTATATCGGCAAATACATACTGATGCCAGTCCACTTGAAGTTCTACCGCGATGTTTGCGCTCTCCTTGAAGGACTACCTCAGGACCAGTCTGACAACTGTTCCACTTACTGGTCTACTAGTCTACTGCAATCCTCAATCCTTACACTCCTTACACTTACCCAAACTCAAGCCGGTCGTCAGGTTATGGTCAAGGTTAGGTAGTAGTAGACTGACTGACCACTAAGTGAAAAATAGACTGGTCCGGTGGTGGACAGGCACTGACATTCTTCTTACGTTCTCATACAAAGTAGGCCTACTCTTTAGTCTGTTAAATTATACAAGATGGGAATTCATACATTAATAATGGTCGTTTGTACTTATAATATAATTAATATTGTCCAGCTGATATATGATCGCACAGACTTGTTTATCATTCATTGTATCTCTGTATTCTCCATGGTTTACTATTACCTACAAGTTGTACTGGGCGCAAAGGAATCGAGGAACTACGACGCAGGCTCGCCAGTCTTCTTTACCATTGTGAAAACCACTGTCCCCTTCCGTGTTTCTGTTAAAACAATTAACCCAGCTACTTATTTGAGCAGCTCACGAGGTCTGGTTGCCATTGGCCTTCACTTTCCTTTTTCTTACTAACTTAAACTCAGGGTCGACGACCTCGCTAGAGCTATTGCTATGCTTATAAAGCTAATTAATTCTATCCTCCTGACTGTGCGTGAAGTCGGTTCGTTGAACAAGTTGAAGCTATAACTTCGCATGATTTTAGGCGAAATCACCTACATGTACTTGGTTCTGCAGGTCATAATGTTTGTTGAGCATCACCTGTCTTTTATTTATTGGGCCATTTCATGTTACGTATATTATGTAACCTTTTATGAGTACAAACTTACCAAAGTGTGTTTGGATGCCTATCGATGAAATCAATGTAAGTTACTGGTTAGAATGTAGAGAAAGGTTTCCTCTACAACAAAAAAAAATACACAAAATAAAACAAAAATTACGACTCTGTCACTGCTTCAGATTTTTTTTCAACAAGTCGTCAATCCGCGTTACGTGTGTCACTGCCGTTTCATTTTTTTTTTTTTTTGGAATCGTCCTTTTTCTTTCTCTTTCGTCACTCACCCCCGTGACTAGCGTTACCTTTGAATGAACTCCACCATTCGGTCATCCTGATCCTTATGCCGTGTCGTCAACTCTGTGTTTTTGGTCTTTTCTTTTAGGTTACGGTTTAAGCGAGGTCTCCATTCTTTAAAAAATTATAAATCATCTTTCGTGCTTGACGACAGGGCTCCGCTTTTACGCTATAGGCTATTTCTGTATAAGCCGTGTTCACTGGCTTTGTTTCCCAACATTTGGTTGGAGGGCGCCTCTTGCTGATCATACTTTTTTACTTTCCCTGTTGTTTCTCTTTCTCTGCCTCTTTCTCTTTGGTATTGGGTGTTGGCCGCCAAGAAAGGGCTCTCCACCTGTCTCTGTTCTGGTCGATTGTCCCTCCAACCAGCCTATGTACCCCCAAAATATACTCCTTAGATTTGCCTCTAGATCATTTTCTCAGGTTGATCTTGGCCCCTCTTCTTATTCTCCTCCCTGTGGGATTCTATTGTAGGCTTTGTTTTGTCACATTGTGGACATTACCCAGCGATGAATGTCAATTAATTATATTATATTTTTGTATTTTCTTTCACCAAATGCACAACAAATCAAGCAAATCTGCTTCCCGGCACTCATTGTAATGTAGTGCCGATAGACTTTAGACTGTAGAAAGTGCTCTCAAATTAACCTAAAACGTGCTCTCTACCTGGCCTTTTCCGATCCCCAGAAGAGCCCGGGGTTGCCGCGGGACATCGAAGAGATCCTGACGTCCACGCTTGGTGCGCTGTATGGCCGAGCCACCCCAGCCGCGGTACAACAGGCGTGGGACGTGCTCAGCGAGTGCTATGACGGGGATGGTCGGAGGTTCAAACATGAGTATCTGGAACCCGTGCTGGGCCTGCTTCAGAGGCTGCAGGAGGTGAGAACGCTGTACTGTTTGTTGTTGTTGTTGTTGTTGTTGTTGTTGTTGTTGTTGTTGTGTGTGGTAGCCTATCCTTTCGAAATGTTTGAAGCCCCGAAGAGCGTTCTCTTCGCCAGGGCCACCGCCTTCCTTGTGTTGTTGTTGTTGTTGTTGTTGTTGTTGTTGTTGTTGTTGTTGTTGTTGTTGTCGTTGTTGGTGTTGTTGTTGCTGTTGTTGTTGTTGGGTTTTTTTTCCTTGTTTGTGAAAGTTTGGAATGAGATGGTATAGCTGTGATGTTTGGTTGAAGTACTTTACATATTGTGTTTGTTAGTGTTCGTGTTCCTTATGTGGACCTTTATGCGCTTTTGTGTGTGTGCGTGCACGTATGTGTTTGATTGTTTGTGTGTGTGTATATGTGTACGGGTGTGAAAGTATAATATGTGTGTAGGGTGTGTGCGAGAGAGAGAGAGAGAGAGAGAGAGGGAGAGAGAGCGAGAGAGAGAGAGAGAGAGAGAGA